AGATAGATAGATAGATTGATAGATAGATAGATAGATAGATAGATAGATAGATAGATAGATAGAGCAATAGAGCGATAGATTGATAGATAGATAGATAGATAGATAGATAGATAGATAGATAGATAGAGCAATAGAGCGATAGATAGAGTGATAGATGATAGATAGATAGATAGATAGATAGATAGATAGAGCAATAGAGCGATAGATAGAGTGATAGATGATAGATGATAGATAGATAGATAGATAGATAGATAGATAGATAGATAGATAGAGAGAGAGAGAGAGAGAGATATGTAGATAGGTAGACATATTTAATGTCTTGCTGGCATTTTCTGACATGGTTGGTGGGGGGAGGGGAATGTCCCCAACTCGGAGGATGAGAAGCTCCATGTTTTCATTTGCCAGAGATTTTGGTCCCTGCCCCTTGCATCCCTCCCCCTCCCCCTGGGGAGCCCCGGCTGGTACCAGGCACTGGATTGCCCGGGTCCAGGGAAGACTTGTAAACAGAGGGCAGGGGGTGGAGGAGAACAGGAAAGGATCTGCCCTGCAATGGGTTTCTTGACGAGACCCCCAAGGATTTTAATGCAGGAGCAGATGCCCTCTTCATTTGCACCGTCTGGGCTGGGAAACAGAGGGAGAGGGTGGCCAGGACAGGTGCCCACGTTGGGAAAACAGATTGAGGCCACTGGAAAAGAAGGAGGGAGCGCTGTCCTCCTGCTGTTGCCCCCCCCCAAAAGCAATATTTAAGTGCATCCTTGAGATGACATAACAGTGCTGAGGCTTCTGCTTTGGCGGAAGGCCCTTCTGGGCAAAATGCCTTCACACCATCACCAGGTATGGCTCTCTGGCCAAAACATTTCTCTCCCTGCCCCCTGCCCCCATCCGAAAAAGCATCAGCATCAGCAACAGGAGGGAAGAAAGAAAGAAAGAAAGAAAGAGAGGAAGAAATAAAGAGAGAAAGGAGGGAGAGAAGGTGGAAGGAAGGAGGGAGAGAGGGAGGGAAGGAAGGAAAGAGGAAGGAAGGAGGGAGGGTGAAGTCAGGAAGGAAGGAAGGAAGGAAGGAGAGGGGGAGGGGAGGATGGAAGGAAAGGAGGGAGGGAGACAGGAAGGAAGGAAGGAAAGAAAGAAAGGAGAGGAAAAAGAGAAAAGGAAGATACGGAATATATTCTGAGCAGGAAGGAAGGAAAGAGGGAAGGAGGGGAGGGGGAGGCAGGCAGGAAGGAGAGAAGGAGGCAGGGAGGGAGGGTGGAAGGAAGGAAAGGAAGGAAAGAAAGAGGAAGGAGGGAGGGAAGGAGGGAAGAAGACAACAGGAAGGAAGGAAGGAGAGGGGGAATGTGGAAGGAAAGAAGGAGAGGGAGGAGGGAGGGAAGGAGACAGGATGGAAGGAAGGACGGAAGAAGAGGAGAGGAAAGGAAAAAGAGAGAAGGAAGATATGGAATGTATTCTGAGAAGGAAGGAAGGGAGGAAGGAAGGAAGGAAGGAAGGAAAGAAGGAGGGTGGGGGAGGCAGGGGGGAGGCAGGCAAGAGAGAAGGAGGCAAGGAGGGAGGGTTGAAAGAAGTAAAGAGGGAGGGATGGAGAGAGACAGGTAGGAAGGAAAGAAAGAGAGGAGGGAGAGTGGAAGGAGAAGGAGGGAGGGAGGAAGGAAAGGGGAGGAAAAAGAGAAGGAAGATATGGAAAATAATCTGAGAAGGAAGAAAGGAAGGAGGGAGGATGAAAACAGAAAAAGATGTTTTCCTGCGCGCAGCTACCCCCCCCCCAACCGCTGCAGCTAGATAACTAAAGCGTTTAGGATTAGAATGGTTAAATAATCTTTTGCGCCAACGCCGGGTAGGCGCAGCTTGATGCTTTCCAACAAATGGCTCCTTTCTCTGTGAGTGTGTGTGTGTGTGCGCGCGCGTCTCTCTCTCTCTCCCTCTCTCTCTGCGCGCGTGCCCGGCAAATCCCTCCGAAGGAGGGGAGGGGAGAAGAAGAGAGGGGTGGGCACGGCTGAGGCTACCCCCCCATCCCACCCCTTCCCCGCCTTGTCAATTGCTTGAAATATGCCCAGATCCGAGTGCCGGCTAAACCCTCCTGCGTTCTCTCCTGCAGCGCAAATCCAAGCTTAAGCTCCGGATTTCAGCATCTGTGCAACACACACACACACATACACACACAAACACACACAACACACACACAGAAAACACAGACACACACACACACAAACAGAACACGTATATATTAAATATACATTTTAGGTATGGAAATGGAAAGGAGTCTAGCAGTCGGATCAAGGGCAGAATGTCAGCTGTCAATCAAGCGATTTTTTCTCCCCCCCCCTCGGTTTTTTTTTGTGGGGGGGAGGCGACAGTTTCCCCTCCTCCCACAAGCATCTGCAATGTGTCAATCGGAGGGCGGGTGGAAAAGATGGAATCCTTGCCGGGGATTGAGGGGGGGGGAGAGAAAGAATGGCCCCTCCCGATGCGTCTCTATGCATAGCATCCTAGGGTGGGGGTGGGGTTTTTTTCCCCGGGGGGGGGAGGAAGGGAGAATCAGCCATTAAGCCTCCTGGCTCAAAAGACGCATTCCCCGAGGCTTTCTCTCTCTCTCTCTCTTTCTCCCTCCCTCCTTCTCTCTCTCCCTCTCTTCTCTCTTCTCTCCCTATTTCCCGTTCTCTCTCTTTCTCCCCCTTTCATCTCTCTTTCTCTCCCGCTCCTTCTCTTTCCTTCCTCTCTCCCTCTCCCCTATTTTCTTTCTTTCTCTCCCCCTCCTTCTCTCCCTCTTTCTCTCCCTCCCTCTCTTCCTCCTTCTCTCGTTCTTTCTCTTTCTCCCCCTCTCTTTCTTTCTTTCGTTCTCTCTCTCCCTCCTTCTCTTTCCTCTCTCCCCCTCCTCTCTTTTTCTTTCTCTCTCTCTCCCCCTCCCTTTCTCTATCTCTTTCTGTCTTTCTCCTCTCTCTCCCTCTCCTCTCTCTTTCTCTCCCTCCTTCTCTCTCCTTCTCTTTCTTTTTCTCTCTCCCTCTCTTTCTCCCCTTTCTCTCCCCCCCAAATAGAAAGCCATAAGGCGGGAGGAGGGGGTTTTCCTGCAAGCCGAGAGACCCACCCCATCCCACCCAGCCCCCCGTCCCCTTGCAAATCCCCCCTTGGCCAGGCGTGCGACCCCCTCCCCCGCAAGCCCCCTTCCCCAATGAATTTACCTCCCCACGAAATTCTCCAGCACGGAACTCTTGCCGGCGCTCTGCCCCCCAACCACGGCGATCTGGGGCAGGTCCAGGTTGGCATTCTGCCCGATGGCGGAGAAGGCATCCTGCAGGCGGTTGACCAAGGGGATGAGATCTTCCATGCCCCGGTTGCCCATGATTGCGGCGGCGCTGGCGCTGCTGCTGCGGCGGAGGTCGCTTCTGCGGGCGGCTGGTCTCAAGGAGACCCCGGGATGCTCATCGGAGGGGAATCTGCGCCCCTAGGAAGGGGGAGAAATCCGAGCCTCCCCGGCTCCCCTGACTCTTAGAGGACCTTTCGCGGATCTCCGGCCAACCGTGCGGCCTTCCGGCCAGCCGCGCTGCCCGCCTGGCTCCGGAGCTCTGCGGCAGCCGAAGACAAGCCGGCTGGCACCTCCGTCGCTACCTGGGTCCTCGTTCTCGCGGCCACCGCTAGCGGGCAGCAGGCAGGAGCCTGGTCCCGGAGAGCATCATGGGCGTTGTAGTTCTGGATCGAGCCCAGCCGGGGGGCGGCCTTTTACCGAATCATCCTCCCCTGCCCTCCTCCCGCCGCCTTCCCCACCACAAGAGCCAAATTGCGGCGTTCAGACGTGGCGGGATTCGAACTGGCGTCTCCGCGGGGGTTGTGCTTTTGCGGAGGGACGGGCAGGATGGGCTTGAGGGTGGAGGGGGAGAGAGAGAAAGAGAGAGAGGAAGGAAAGAGGAGAGGGGGAGAAAGAGAACGAAAGAGAGAGAGAGAGGAAGAGAGGGGGAAGAGAGAGAGGGAGAGAGAGAGAGAGAGAGAGAGAGAGAGAGAGANTTCCTTCTCTCATCTCTTTTCCTCTCCTTCCTCCCTCCCTCCTCCCCTCCCTCCCTCCTCCTCAGAATATTTTCCATATCTTCCTTTCTTCTCTCATCTCTTTTTCCTCTCCTTCCTTCCTTTTCCTTCCTTCTTTTCTTCCTTCCTTCCTGATGAAATTTTTCACCAGGCCCAAGACCAGTCATGCAGGAGTAACTGACCTCCTCACACACTCACTCCATCCTCCTTTCTCTCTCCCTCTTTTCTGCTGATTACACAACAGCGTTTTGTTACGGAGGGGGGGGGGGTTGAGAATCACGTTTTCCCTTAGACAATGAAGAAAATGCTCGAAGAGCAGCCAATTCATCATGGAGGAGATAGGAAGAAGAAAAACCAAATGGCTCCCCGATTCCCCCCACATCCCTGCACCCCAAAAAGCACCTTGGATTCCTTCTGTTTGGGTCCTCTGGCTCTGCACCTCCAATCACTGCTTTTAAGACCATCTGCTCTTCAACCAGATTGGATCTGGAATTCTCTCCCAGGAAACCCCCTCCCCCTCCTTTAACATCGTCTTATTTTAAGAAGGGAGGCAGGAAGAATCTGGCCATCAACACATTGTGGGGAGGGGGCTTGTCAAAAAAAACCCATGTCCATTTTGATAGGTTTATTTCTCTAGGGGGAAATCAAGGGGCATCCCCAGAGCAAAAGGGGGCTCAGCACAGGGTCCACCCTTGCTGCCCCCCCTTGGAGCTGCATGGCCAGCCATCTGTTTGGCCTCACGCATAATCTGCCATTTGCAGAAGCTTCCCTGGAGGCAGATATGAAGGTCACATGAATTTTGATGGATGGATGGATAGATAGATAGATGGATAGATAGATAAATAGATAGATAGATAGAAGAGAGAGAGAGAATAGAGAGAGGGGGGAGAGATAGATAGATAGATAGATAGATAGATAGATAGATAGATAGATAGATAGATAGATAG